TATAGGATTCCACACTCCCTAGTCGTTCTCCCCAAAAAGCTGTGTGCCTTTTGAAGGTTTCCCCTGTCGGCACTAAAATTCTTCCCCGACAACATTCAGAAAGGTAACGTTTCGTTTTTTAAAAAATTTTGCCCTATACACTAATATTTTCTCTTGTATCGTGTAAACATACAAGTTCACATACACATGACACCTAGACCCGGAACAACAATTTTTGGATCACACAAATAGTTGCTCCGTGCGGGAATCGAACCCGCGACACGTTGCGCGGCAGCCGGTTGCCCAGCCACCGCACCAACCGTGCCGTCTGGCACGGCTTCAAATTGATAAATATTGCTCAACGTCAAATCAAGAGACAATAACTCCGATAGCCCATGTACATTTCAATTCTAACATTATAATAATATAAATAGTTAGGTAGTTCTGTAAAACTTAAATAATGCCTAGTTAGCCTTTTAGCCTCTAACTAACTTCATAAAACTTCGACTCTTTCCGTTTGCTAACTGAAATGTATAACTATTTAAATGAGGTTGGAGTCCACAGCGAACTAGTTTAAACTTTGATGGTAGGTAAATATATCGAAAGGGCAATACCTACTTACTTTGTTCAGAGTTCAGGCCTACGCGTGGAAACTTCACTTGTAGGTACCAAGTAATTTATATAAAACAACACTAAATTATAGAAACATGGAATAGGAGTTTAGAAGAGAAATGCTCATTTTTTTAACAAGAATCGATACCCATTATTACCCACGTCTAAATTATAAGTTTAAATATAAAAGGAACCCCTAATCTAGAATGGGTGACATTTAACAATATTTTGGTTTTCACCTACCTACCTATAAGTGACAAGTAACAGTACCAGTAAGGGATTAGTTTAGGTTTGTACGTCACGCTCAGTAACTTTGAGTTAAGAGATGGTTTAGAAGGTGATAAGTGAAAAAACCTATATACGGTCGAATTGAGAATCTCTTCCTTTTTTAAGTCGGTTAAAAATGGCCATGTTTGGATGACAAATGGTGTTAAATAAGCCCAAATAGTGATATCCGTATAATCAATAGTAGTTAGTTAAAAGTCTCTAAGGTAAAACACATACTGATGTGTTTCTGTTTTCCTGCTTATGTTTATTCATTTTTTACATAATCAGCTCCACTCATGGACGTGCAATATATTAGTGACATGTGAGCTGCCGTCATTTGAACATGGAGTGGGTATGGATCAGTTAGGTCTGTCCTTCAAGGTTATTGTCCAAACTGTATAATACATTGAGATCCCACTAGGATATCCACCTTAAGAGCTATTCCAACTTAGGGCCGATTTTTCAATTCTCAGTTAAATTTTATCAAAGGACGAGAGGAAACGAGAAGGAAGGAGAATATTTGATAATTGTAGGTACTATACCAAAAACTCTTAAATGGCATTTTTATTGTATAGATGAATAAAGTAATGATTGAAAAATCGGCTCTGAGTGTCTATATGTGGACTTAAGCAGAAACTCTTCCTCATTTACTCTCTCTCTACATTATCATCATGGCGACATGTCCACTGGGAAATGAAACCCAGAGACCTATTTTAATCACTAGTCATAATTCAGCAATCCGACCAAAACCAGTTACCAAAGTAATTAAGCAATCGAGCACGTTATACATAGGTATGTAGGGTCCATTTATGCATGGCACTAACTTTCATTGGTCGAATTATCGGACAAAAGCCTGGTTTGGCGGCTCGCCAGCTCCCGGCGCCAGGAATTTCACGGCTTTCTTCACATTGCAACATAATCAAGCCAGACATTATTAGAGTTTTGTATTCTTTTTCGCTTTTAAATAAAATTAGTGGTGCAGTTATCCTTATTGTATTAATTAGGACGAGTAGAGCTTAAAAACGAGGTTTTTATTCAATTCGTTGCGTGTAAATTAATGCATGTTGACTTGTAGTTACTTCACAATTATTAATTGGAGCATGGGATGTGTTACATGTAGATATGAAAATCACTAACTTAGTAAGTGATGGCCCCAAAACTATATTGTATTATAAGCTGTCTCAGAGTGCACTGTCTATCTGTTATACTTTAGTGTGTGAACTCGACGTGTGCTCTGTCCATCTAATATAAATATAATTATAATAAATGCCAGTAAAATCAATGCAAGTCGTAATCATTCATCCACCAACATAACAGGATGAATCCAAGGACGCCATCATGCTCAGCAGACACTTAAAGTAAAGCCCACTAGACCAACGACGCAGTCAGCCGTAGGGTGAACTCCTATAATTGAATTTAATGAGGGCGACGATAAGATGTTCTCATTAAGCTGGTTATAAATGAAGTTCCAATCACAAGGGAGCCAATCTAGGATATAGGGATAACAAAAACAAGGCATTTCATTAAGAAATAAAAACTTTTATTATTATCAGTTCAAATATCGTATTTACATTCTTTTAAACGAGTAAAAGCACATTGTTTATACATTACAAAAAAAAATATTAAAAAAGAACAATAACTAAATTCAGTAGCGGGACAATTTCGTGATACGTAAAATAAACAGTTAATTGAAAATAACCTAGGATAGTTTAAAAATTAAAATAAATCTCATAACGTCCGTGTACTTCGGGACTCGGACAAACGGCCATGGCAACTCGTATAGGACTGTCGTAAATAAGAAACCATATCAACTAATTGATTCATTAATAATACCTATATACAATTCGTTCCTTCGCAACGAACGTGAGCCTTGCGGCCTCGATCAGTACATCGTACAAATGCAAATTATTATGTATGTATACAATAGAATTTCCACTATTCTCAATATAAATGCTCGACGTAATCTCGTATCGTACATATGTAGGCGTGCCTCACTCAACGGGTGAATTATTTACTCAGCATCCCCTACACCGAGCGCGGCCACCGGACCGCGAGTGCGGCGCTATTGCTAGCCAATTTCATAACTACATTCAACGGCGAATTCTGACTCGGTTATTACATATTCTATACTTATTATATTTGATTACATTAATGGATTAAACGTTACTCGACGGTATCTACACACTTGACAAATAACACAATTTCTAAGGCAACTTGCGGCGAGCTGCGTCGCCTTACAAACACGTCAACAATTCAACAATCAAATAACGAAGGTATATTACACGAGCGCCGCACAAAATTCGCTCAAAGTGGCCACCACTCGCGTTCCGGCTGCAGGCCGCGACCCATTCTAAATTACATACAATAAAACTCAACAAACCATATACACTGAAAATATTGCGTTTCACATACTATACAATTTACGTACTATTGGTGTTCGGAACCGTATTATGAATTAACTACTCTGCAGTGCCGGGGGCGGCTCTTGAATTTGTGACGTAACAATTTTGTGCTCAATCTCGTTAAATTTTGTTTAATTCTGCTAAGTGCGCGCCCCCGGCACTCGGTGTAAACGTCTCTAAAGCTCGGTAAGGACTAAACTAACTTGATCTACGCTCACTATGTTTCCCGCGCACACTGACAACTCGATCCTACTACGTAACTATTACTCGTCGTACTTATTAATTTATTATCGATTTTGTCGCGTATTTTGGCAGTGCTTTCAGTGCGATTCAATTGTAATAAGGCTTATTCGCTTAGTCTTAGCGTAGGTAACGTTATAATTGATTTTTATTGCTATTAGTTACCAGACTATTTTATTTACACAAATCGATTTAATTCGCTTCTAGACTAGCATTATTTTAAGACTACATACAAAATGATGTTCAAGCGATACTAATGTCTTGATTATTTATTTTTAAACCCGAATTTGCTATGAAGCGTTACTAATTATTGTTGGCACAATTTCCGTTAATGATCCTGTCGGCTGCGATCTATTTCGAAATCATAGATACATGTGTAACTCGTTGCTGACAAGAGATCGCATTAATTCGTGTACAGTTGAACCGTCAAGTTGCCAATGCGCCGGTCCTACGTAACTTACACTGCGCTCCTAACCTTACGTAGTGGGGACCACTAACAATTTACTAAACTTGTTAATTTCACTAGTCTTTAGTCTAGACGGAACCTAGCTTCCATCTACGCTACACTGCTCGCTCAGAACATTGATTAGTATATTATTTATAAATCGTCGAATTCCCTATCACGTTACAATTTACAGTAGGACGGTCCCACACTTGATTATATTTGAGATCTGCGAAGATTAAATAATTTTGGTAATAGTTTATCTCCGTTCAATTCACATGGTATCACTGGAGGTATCACACCACTCCTCGCCACACTAACTTTACTATTTGAGCACCGTGGAAGGAATGTGTGCATAAGATTTAGATAAACGCCATTCAATGGAGGAGCCCCTACCATGAGCCACGACGTCATGTCCGATAGATGTACCAAACGTCGGAATCAATAGCAACCAGTATCGTATAACCAATTAATCGCGAGCTCATGGCACGAGCTCGATGATAAAACCGTAAAGTTTTCATAAGACTGCATTAGAGTTAACTTCATCGACAATTATCCCTTAATAAATATAAATAAACATCTTCAAAATTTTTACCAAATTATGAGCATATATTTCCAGCATAAAAATCTTTTAAAATAATACGTCATACTTCTCAATTATAGATATACATGGCACACTGCTCTGTTTATATATTTATAGTTATAATTCATACACTCGTTACCTATCAGTTTACCTTGTCACCATAGAATAATTGAATTATATGGATGGATATTCCGTTGGAAGCTTAACAAGCACTAATACAATAATAGAAAGGACAAAGCAATCGGACGAACAAACAATGAATGGGGGTTTTGAAATCAACTGAATACTGTCGCCGGCATTCGATGCCCGATCGAGTGATTTTTTTTTAATCTAGACGTTAGAACTATCACGAAATGTTGGTCCGACGGAGCGAGTCAGTATTGGACGCCTCCTGGTGAAGTATAGGAATCGCGGCGTACGCGCCGGGCAGAACGAAAAAAGCGTAATTGATTCGACTAAAGGGGGCGGCCGAGTCTCACTTGATGGTCGCGTGCCGAGTCTCGGGGTGCAGGCACACGCCTTCTACTGTGAATATTGATACCTCTGGAACAATGGAAACACATTCAGTTTAGAAAAAGTAACTTTTTGATATAACAACACTTCTAACCAAATTACTAAAACGAAAAAAAGACATTTACAATGAAGATTGACTTTGACGTATGCTTACCTATGTCAATCCCAAATACCACATAATAATATATTCCTTCATTCGAATAATATTTACCCTTTGTCTCAATCCTATATCTATTTAAAAATATGTAGCAAATGAAGGATATAATTTTCTGTATATTTTTAGAAGTACAGAATATAAACTTACCGTCAGGCAAGTCCCTGAGTCGCGGTGGGAGTGAAGCGAAGTAAGCGTGGTGTAGTGCTCGTAAGGCAGGCAGGCGTCTTGAAGGATCGGATTGCAATAATGCGGCCGCCAGGCGCTCGGCGTCCCGCCCGCGTCGCGCAGACGCGGGAATGCAGCACCCAGTGCACGCGCAGGGGAGGTTCCCCATCGTGACACATGAGCTCGAAGCCCTGGTAAACGGCTCACGCCTGACCAGCTTTCTTCAGTTGGTGTTCCTACCACCTATGGAAGAATTAAAGGTTAGTTGCAAATTGATGCAAGTATTCCATTTAAATCGATCGCAATAATTCATTCAGTCCTTTTGGTGAAACTTAAAAAAACTGCGTTTACAGCACAACAATTATTACAAACCTTAAATATTTTATCTAGTTGGTCGTGTGTGTCCCTGACTCCGGGGAAGGTGGGCACTCCACATAACATCTCCACGAATATGCAGCCGACGCCCCACATGTCAAGCGACGTGGAGTACTCCGTGCTGCCCAGTAACACATCTGCAGGACAAGGGAAATACAGTCAATATAACACTCTTCATCATCATGACCATCAGCAAGAAGGTGGACGGGCGACCTGATATAAGTCGCAGGAACCAGCTGAACGCAGGTTACTTCTGAACGGCTTATTTAGAAGTAATTGGGGGAAGGTAATATCGAGCAGTGGATGTCTTTTTGCTGATATAATGAAGATGATGATGAGCTGGTTTCCGACTTCTGTTGGACGAAAGCCTTGCTAATAGCACCCCACAAAGGTCTGAACACGATCTTCAGTTGTTCGTATCTAAACACTGTTTAATAGAAATTTCCACTTACTAGTAATAGATTGGTCTTTTGTGCAACAAAATCATTTCTGAATGTTTTTTTTTTCTAGACTTTTCTGAGAAGAGGCTTTCACCAAAATGGCATAAGATGAAAAGTAAAGTTTAGCTCTAGTTTCTCATGACATAACTTTGAAATCTTCACAGCAGCTTTTTTCCACATCATCCAAGGACTGTTTAAAGACGTTACTTAACAATAATTTAGCAGGCATTCGGTCCTAAGGTTCGTGAAAATGTCTCGCTGTATATAAAAATGAAGATAAATGACGACTCGTGACAGCCATAAAAGTATATTTAGGGATAGTATGCGACATTCAATTCTCACTGTGCGGACTATAGCATCGTAAATTCACATTTTAGGGACGATATATCATTGTTATTGGTATGTTTTTGGGCGGCAGCTTACTATAAAACAGTATGGTTTAATAACTTTAACATGAACATTGGAGTCTATTTAACTCATGCATTAATTAACTATAATTCGGTACTACCCTTGCGAACCATTCTGTTTATGAGGGAGACGACATATTAATACAATTTTTACTTTTAATAGACACACTATACATGCAACTGACAATAATGGCACCACCACACCACCGCGCACTCGTATACAATCCATCAATTTAAACACCACATTCAAGTTGTTGCAAAAATGAACCTAGCCTTAACGTCAACTATGTCTAGTTTAAGCATACAAGCTGACTTGTTCATACAAACTAGCATTACTCATATATTTATCATGAAACAAATATTTCAGTCTGTACACAGCTAAATGCACATTTCACAACAGCACTCAGAATTACAAATAATGTTGCATTTCCCTAGTTTGCGTGACAAATTTATAGCCGACGCCCGCTACTCCATAGTGCTGGTTTTCAAGGAAAGCATTCGCTAAATATAACCAAGCTCTGTCTCATCCAATCTCTTTAAAGTCTGTTACTAGATATTTTCATAACAAAAGGTTTAATACGATAGGGTAGTCTGTCTACTAAGACAGAGTATGGAAATTAAAAATGTAATTATTCCGTCAAATAATGAAAAAATATTAGACACGTAGGTACTTATTTCTTTATTTTGTCGTATAAGAAAACAATACTTAGATAAAACGGAGTTAAGTTTAGAAGTGGGAGATCATTACGTCACGCTACCCTATAAAATGTAGTAAATCATGACGTCACACGATATTTCAAATCAACATATCGTCGAAAGTATTTAATTTCGTAAGAAAAGAAAAAATACTTGTCTAATGTTTTAAAATAATATACCAAACGGACATAAAAATAAAATTTTGTATACTACCCTATTCTTTGTAACGGAATTTCGTTATAGAACAAAATAATATCCTTCGCCAAACAGTGCATTCGAACATGGATTCGAATTCTTACAAGCTAAACAAACTACAGTCATAACGAAATTTCGTTTCGGAAAATTGTAGTAGGCCCTCAGTCCCTTGTTTTTCATTAGGTACAGCTTCTATAACGCGTGTAAAATATGTATGTAGCGTAAAGCAACACCCTGCTTTACGCTAGCACTAAATTAAATTAGTTTTAGTATGAAAAGAGGAAAACTGTACGATGTTTTATGATAGTTTAGTACTACGAGATTAAAGACTGATTAATGTGCTCGGTGTTTTTAGAATAAAGATTTCCTACCTTTATTTTTCTTTTTAAAAAGATTATACTACATATTTCCTCCTTTCAGAAAATGACACACATATTTTTTACGATAATAAAGCGTTAAAACCTCGTGACTTTTGACGTATATGACGTCACATCCAACACATTTATTAATCCTTTCATGAACACAATATACCAAATTAGGGGCACAAAAACAAATTAATATTAATAATAATATTTTTTCTGACTCACCAGGAGGTCTGTACCAGAGCGTGACGACTTCGTGAGAGTACGTGTGACTGGGCACGGACTTTGCTCGCGCCAGACCGAAGTCTGCAAGTTTCAACTCGCCGTGGGAACTTATTAGTAGATTCTGGGGCTTCACATCCCTGTTAAAAATACGGATTATTATTTATTTATATACGTATCTTGTTAGCTAAAGGTTATGTAGAGATTAAATTGTTTAATTGTATTAATTGATTACTTAATTGTATTTTAATGCTCACCCCTTCTCCGTGTGAGAAGAGGCCTTAGGTAAGCAGTGGTCACTTATAGCCTACTGATGTTGTAATTTTACGGTTTACTCTCGAAATTGTTTGACGAGATGACTCAGCTAGTTTCAAGCCAGACTAGGGGCTCATAGACTTTATGAGCAGTATTGTAATAAACGCAAGTAAGTCGTAATATAGAATTAATTTAATATGTCTTCCGAGAGTGACAATACGCCGATTTATGTTTAGAGGACTAGAAATGTCATAATTATGATTTTATACAAAAAATATCGTTACATATATATAAAGTACATAATATATAGATATATAATACAATTTTGAACGTTTCCAAAGAGCAAACAGGGTCGTATTTTCATTAGAAAAGGGATAATTGTTTATACACAAACACGGTAGGGTTTACAGCCCGTAACCCAATATCCCTTAGTAGAAAATAATATTTAAAAATCTTAACATATTATCCCTCCGTTAATTACTATCGGTTTCCAGATAAAAATAGAATATTATTTTAGAATGCCTCGTTGGCCGAGTGGTGGCACGTGCGACTATCGGGCAAGGGGTTCTTTCCCGGGTCGGGCACAAAGCATTATTGGGTTTTTAAAAATTCTTAGTAGTCGCACGGAGTCTGGAATTGTGCCCGGTATCTGGTAAAATGTAACAGGAATACGAAAAGCATGGTCCATATTATAATTATGTATATTACTAAAAACTTAATACACAAACAGTTCAGCTTTTTTTAAAATGAACAGGTAAAGGTAGTCTACTCGCCATTGTTTACTTTCGCATACCAGACACGATATTAAAAATAACCAAGGAAGACCTAGGTATCCTAAAACCCAAGCAGTCTGGCGTCATATTGATAATATTTTTTGTTCTTCAGACGTTGATTACATAACATAAAATCACACCTTTTATCCCCGAAGGGCAGGCAGAGGTGCACATTATACCACTGTACAATGTAACACCCACTTTTCACTATTTATGTTATAAGTCCCATGTAATATGGGGTGAGCCTATTGCCATATACCGGGCACTATTCCAGACTCCGTGCTACTACTGAGATTTTTTTAAAAACCCAGTACTTACAACTTACTTTTCCCGACCAGAGAATCGAACCCGGGACCTCGGCAGTCGCACTTGCGACCACTCGGCCAACGAGGCAGTCAAAGCCAGATGATTACGTTTGTAAATGAAAATTGTTGACGTAAACGGTAAATTATTATCAACAGCGTAAAGAATTTGATAAATGTTCTACGTCTGTTTTGTTTTGTCTCGTAAATTGCTTTTAGCCTTGTACTCGTGATTAAAAATGTAATGTGTTTCATTTATTTATTGTTTAGGTGAAATAGAGGTTACTGTTACTTCACTTTTTGCTAGATTTACGCATGAAATGTAAATGTTTGGTTTGTTTCATTGTAAAAACTATACAGAAAATAGGAAGAATATAAATATTTTTTTAGTTTTTCTTAAGATTTGATATGCTATTTTGTAATGATACTTTGAAACAGGTCATTCGAAACACATTTGAATTATATTTTTCTGGTCCTTCGGAGTTCGAGTTAACAAAAAACAACTGGTCCTTTGAAAAGGATACTGTCAAACAACACTGTCCTAATAGATATGCTAATACTATTGTATTAATTTAAAAACAACTCAATAAAGGTGCCATATTATGACACCCATTAAACTGGAGGAATGCAAAATGTGCATTACGGATGCAAAATTAAAGAATGGAGCTACCGAATGCTTGTATACCAGTGGCACTAGTGTGAACTTGTCGTTATTCGTAGAATAGGGAATTAGCAAGTGTCACGCTATTGGGCGTTCTATATTTGACATCTGCAGTGAACTCCCATAGTAATATTCCGAATTTTAACATTTATTTAACATATCATTAATCAGGCGTTGTTAAGTAACTTAGTGACTTACTATTATCAATATTTTTATTGTATTGTTTGAGAGCAAGGGCACAGTTGAATTTTTCAATATCACATTTTGATTTTCAATAATCAGAATTGTTAACTTCGGCTTGAGGTTAATGACGTTGTTAATTTTTATTAAATTTTTTTGAAGAATCGCCCTTAGACAAGACATCGTTTTCTACATTTGCCCCATTTGGTCAGGAAAAAAAATCGAAAGTACTTATATAAAATGGCCCCCATTGGTGTGTCCCATTATCCCATACCTGTGTAAAACTCTTCTCCTATGGCAGTAGGAGAGTCCTCGTAGCAACTGGAACATGTAGAGCCTTACATTATGGTGGTTCAGCCCGCCAGGGTGCCTCTCCATGTATTGTGATAAATCCGTGTCCTGGGCAAAAGAAAAAAATCTATGAGTATATGTATAACACTTTATCTGTCAAGTTTAAAATGGTGAAAGTCAAACGTCCACTACCGTCAGGCACCGGTGACTGACGTATCCCTTTAAGGTTAAATACTGATTTGTTTAGCCACAGCAAGCAGCAATGGCTATTTTCTAAAATTCACTGTGATCTCCGGCCCGAGTGCCAAGCGCGAATAATATGGAAAACCTATGTTTAGACTAGGAAGCCTGTGGAATGTAAGGCCCTGTTGCTAACGATGATGAACTTCAGAAAGTAACTTACAGTTGGTACAAAATGTATATGGGAGGTATTATTAAAATAGAAAACTTTCACAATTATTCAAACACTAAAATTAACAATTAACATAGCTTAAAACAGGGTGTGTCATTACAATAGAAAGTGAAATGTACTTACATACCTACGTAAATCTATGTATATTTAAGAAAGACAAACAATATCTAACGATGATGTCAGCTATGCCAATTTAGTTTCACTTTCAATGACTACAAAGACTAATTCTGTACACGACATAAAACGGTGAAGTAAAAAAAAAACATTGTATATACTTCAAAATGCGTCCTTTGTATGAGATAACTATTGAAGGATATATTACAATATATATTGTATTATATATTGTAATAATCATCTTTTTTAATATTTGATGAGCCGACGTTTAACCACTATGTCGCCTGGTGGTAAGCGATGATGCGACCTACGATGGAGCACGTCGTCCCATAAGCAACCTATTCACTCGGGCCTTGAAGACTCCTTCAGGAAATGCAGACTCTGGCAAATCTTCATCAATCTTCTGTTGGACTATGAACCTCCTCTACATAAGTGAGTCGGCCACAATCTCCAAATCGCCACACTTAGTAACCCGATTGAAGATGGCAGATTAAAAGATTCAGTTTTAACAGAAAGTTGCATGGTCTCTGTCATTGTAACAGCTCTATCGGCTTTTAAGTACGATAGATGGGCACTAGGAGCTCGTGCTCTACGAGAGCGAGGTTCAAGGGAGACGCACGGCTAGGGGTGTGCCGTAACTGGCGTTGCACTGTAGGGGCTTCGGAGCAGGGTGCTTACTCTTGAAACCAATCTCAATGTCAATGCAATTTCAATCCAATAAAATCTCAATAATGATTCAATGTCAAAACTATACAACCCCTACCGTAGCTGTTGAAATAGCATTCAGAGTACGGAAGATAAAGCCGAACTCAATACCAATTAGTTCATTTAATATCCACATAATACGGATGCAATGGGCGCTAGTGTTGTAACTCAAGAGTACGAAAGTTCACAATACCAATGTCGATCGATCGGAATTGGATTCAAGAGTAAGCCCCCAGGTCTATTAGAGCACCAGATACTGAGAGTGGCTACCAGGGTGGTTTTAGTGAGGTAAGAATCCCACACTCACTTCCTACTCTTTCTCCCCAAAAAGATAGGAGCCTCTTGAAAGTTTTCCCCCGTCATCAAAAAAGTACCCACAAGAAGAGCAGGATGGTATATTAATGTATTATATGGTTTAAAGAGTGGCATTTAGATGAAAAAGTAAGTATTATATGTAGTAAGCAATAAGGTACATCTTCGTACAATTATATCTACAATTCCCTGAATGAGAATCGATATCAATTCGAATTGATATTGGAAAGAAACGTCAAATGAAATTGGATTCGTGAACAGACTGCTTATTGATATTTCTGTTTATTATATTTCCAAATTATTAGGCTCAATGAACTATGAAAGGAAAAAAATAGGCAATTGTTTGTGTTTAATGTTCATAACTTTATGTTATTTATTATCGATATGCATGATTTAATACGGTTTTGTAATAAATAGGGACACTCTCTTAGTTTTCCAATTTCACATAGGAAGTCTTTTCATATTATAGACGAGTTATAGCCACACAGCAACAGTTGTCCGACCGTCAAGCCTTTATCTCAACCAAAATGAATCATTATTAAAAACTATTACGAAGTAAGGACTGATGTTTATTAATATTTTGAATGCTCGAAAATATGTTTCTTTTTCACGTCGCAACGAGGAGTTTTAATTACAAGATTTTTGTATCAAAGGGTTATTAAATTACAAAATTTAAAGCGGCTATGTAGAACCACTATACGTAGGTCACTACAAAAGTTTTGTCGTACTCCGTGAAATATTATTTTTTTTCGAAGTATTCTCCATTGGCACTTAGGCAGGTCTTCATACGTGCAAACCACGTATCAAAGATGTCGCTCCAGAATCCTTCCTGCACACTGCTGCATATCTCCTCAAAAGCACCTAAAAGTTGGTCATCATTAGTAAACTTGCGGCCTTTTAGTTGCTTTTTTACATATGGGAACAGGCCAAAATCACACGGTGCTAAGTCTGGGCTATAAGGAGGGTGTCCCAGTAATTTGATCCCAATTTGACTCAGATAGTCCACAGTTTTGCCGGCTCGATGCGCGGGAGCGTTATCATGATGCAAGAACCAAGTGTCGAGTCTTGAGTTTGGACGTTCATTTTTCAAAGATTCTAAAACTTGAGGTAAACATTTTTCAGTGTACCAGGCAGCTGTCACAGTCTTCTGTTTATCAAGCACAATTATTGATAAAATACCTCTTCTGGAGAAAAATACGGCTACCATTCTTTTTTTGACTGACCGGGACATTTTAACGGACGTCGGAGGATCTTCGTCTTCAAACACCCACACTTTACTCTGGGATTTAGTTGGAACGTCGAAATAATACAGCCAGGTTTCGTCACCAGTGATAATTGAATTCACATAGTTCGATTTGCCGTCATTGAATTTTTTTAACATTTCTTTACACCATTTGACGCGCTGTTCCCTAATCGCATCAGTTAGCAAATGTGGTACCCAAAGTGAACAAAGCTTTCGTACTCCTAAGTTTTCATGAAGAATTCGATGAATAGTTGGTGCACTTAAATTGAGTGTTTCCTCGATCTGACGGTATGTTACATGGCGATCTCCTTCAATCACTTTTCGCACAGCCACAATATTCTTATCAGTGGTTGCGTCAATCGGCCTGCCCGGTCTTGAATCGTCTTCTAAATTAAAATTGCCGCGATTGAATTGTAAAAACCATCTTTCTATAGTCCTAAGGGATGGACAATTATCACCCAACACACCACTCATTTCTTCGAAGCATTGTTGTTTTGATAATCCACGCTTAAAGTTATACAAAATTATCACCCGAACGTCACGACGATTTAAATCTGACATATCCAATTGTTAAAAAATTCACTAAAAAAATACTAAGCTAGTTACTCCAACGAAACTTATGCAAAATATGTTGACATTAGTTGATGTATTAGAATCTACCCTCAGTTGAATTATAACTATTAACTATTTGTCATACGACAAAACTTTTGTAGTGACCTACGTATAGTTTATGTGTTTCAACCACTATGTTTTATAAACACAGTCGCTATCCGCCGTCTGTCTGTCCCTATGTATGCTTAGATCTTTAAAACTACGCAACGGATTTTGATGCGGTTTTTTTAATAGCTATAGTGATTCTTAAGGAAGGTTTATATGTATAATACATGTATATTGCCGAAGCCGGGACGGGTCGCTAGTTCTAAATAATTTAAACTAATAGAAAAATGAAAGACCACTTACCACAAATTCAAACACGAAGGTTAGCGTCTCCCTAGTGTGCACAATATCATGGAGGGTCACAATATTCGCATGTTTCAACTCCTTCAGTAAGGAAGCCTCCCGAATGGCAGTAAATGGAGCCCCCTCCTCTTCTTGCAGTCTGATCTCTTTCAACGCCACAACTTGCTGTGTTAAACTGGGGACAAAAGAAATATCATAATGATAAAACCGTGCAAGTTCTAATAACAACCTCCTATTAATAATAATGATTAACTAGGTCCCTATTAAGTTATAGAACCCTTTTTGTAATTGTCGAGTTCAAGACAATAAAATGAAATGCCTTTCTGATGGCCAAGTCGTGAAACAATCCTATCTACCCTTGTAAGTACATGGTTTTGTGCTAATGGCACGTTTAATAAAATAAAACCAGTGTACGTATTATTTCGCATTGTTCATATCGGTCGTGGTCACGACTAGGCTAGTTCACACGTTAGTCTAGGTGAGATAAATAATGCAACGCTCAGCTCATTTGCATTGCACAGTCTAGCCATTGAACGGTATAGAAACGTAAACAATTCATCGCACCTGTCGACCTACGACAATGCAGTGCAAAGAAAAGTGGGGTAGGAAGTCCCCCAACGTTTTATTGCCGGATATTAGTAATTATGTCAATGCGTCTAGCGCCCTGATCAGGAAACTACGCTCATTAATATGCTAGACATGTTGACGTCGTTAACTAAAGTGCGAGCTCGATTATGACATTATAATTTAATAAGTTTCCTGCCGAGAGCAACAATTCATTCCGCTTCAAAGCTTTTTGTGGATGTTACTCAACAAATTAATTCCTGGTTAGCTATTTATTAATGCGAGATCTTGTATTCTAAGTTATATTAATCAACGCGCCGCTAACTCAGCTGGCTTTTAGCTTCATACATCTAAAGATATTTATGAGGAAGGAGAATCCAGCTACCCGATGCCAAGGCATTCTTGAACTAATTCCGTAAAGCTAGCTGAACCGTGTACTCGTGCTAAGGACGTACGGAGTTCGTGTTCAGAAGTCTATGAAATTGTTATATGTCGTCTCCTCGCAATGGTGCAGCGTACAGGCGTGATAAGGAAACTTGTAGCACCATGAATACGATGAATTTGGCGAGTTGAACATGCTTATTACCGACCAACGTAGTGAGGTGGAGCACTTCATTCAATATTCACGAGCAATGAACACTGCAAGTTCCGTTTGACTTGCCCTACTCAACCTGACCTCGCCGCGGACCGGGGTTTAGTATATTAATTCGTGAACTAAAATGTACGAGAGTTTTTAACGTAAAATTTTATTTGGCGCGAGTTGTACATTAAAATTAACGAGCCGGGATGCTAAAGGCTGTAAAGCCAATGATGAATAAATCTGAAATGTATTTGATACTGGATCTGCCCACCATATTTTTAAGAGCCAAAAGATATAAAAATGTATGTTGTATTTTGCAATGAAATGGGATAACGGGTCTGCGCTTTACATATCGAGTGATGTCAAAGGCCGATTTCAAAGCGGGAACGCGGGAGACTACGACAAGTGCGCTACAAAGGCAACATTGTTGCGAAAAATACGAACTCCTACTGCGGATGCGAAGAAACGCGAGGAAAGATCTTTTGATGAGAATTTAGCCACTTTCATCGTAAAATATAAAATGAAAATGCGAAAGAGAAAGATAAAAGAAATATTTGAGTATCTTAAAAAGAAGTAAAGTAATCAAATGAATCCAATAAAAGATGGATTTTATTGAAGAAGACAAACTGAAGTTTCGATCTATTTGAGGCGAAGTTAAACAAGATCCAATAATATTTGGGACTGTGTAGGCAATGTAGAATCTATTTGAAATTATTCCTAGAAGGCGGTTTCTGAGATATTTCTTTGAGAATTGTAACGAGCAATTAAAGCGATCAAGAGTTGGCGATATGGAAAAATCGTTGCCAATTACATTATACATATTAGGTAGGTACTTATAAATTATTGCTGGAATTTTCCACAAGATGACTTTATGTTGGTAAATATACATTAAAGAGTAATGGAGAAAGAGCTGCTAGTAGATAACTCAGCCGCATCCACTCGAGGCACACCCTCGACGCATATTTAAATATCAATATCCGTGGAATTGCATCAATATTTATAAAACTAATTGCTTTTACAATGAGATGATTAATTGCTTCGTGTCATTCAAATAACTTCCTTATAATGGAATCATTTAAAGGAAAATGATTTGTTTTCTTATTGCCTATTGGCAAAGGCTATTGCCTTTTGTGAAATCATGAAGGGTTATTGTTTTATGTTAGTATAAAAGTGTTTGAAAGTGACAACATCGTCAAAAGCATAATTTCAGACTGTATGCATTCATCAAAAAAAAGAAAACTCCACCTGATCAAAAAGAGACACAATGCTTGTTAGTACTGCCAACGAATCAGTAGACACTCATATAGACAACAAATAGCTACTACAACTTTAACAACATACTTAGTCACAATTAGCTCATCAGCGTCGAAACTCCAAAGGAACAACTCAAACAGCTTAGGTACAGCCGCATTTGTTAAAATTAGGTACTAAACTTTCCACGTGGTTTTGCTCACATAGACAGATCATTCTCGAAGCCAAAATGCAGTGTCATTCCATTGTTTTATGATGTTTGGGAAAACCTGCGCGTGGGTCTTCTATGCAAATGACTACGTTTGCGTTAATTCCCGTTTTCGTTCGTATTTGTAAGTACCTTCTTGGTTTGTATAGTAAACTTATATAGACTTTATACATGCATTAGTCCTTTCAGATTTTTAGATTTCCTACTCACGAACTTTACAAGGCATGTAAGGTTCTTACAGTACGGCAATTAAGTATATTAAACATCGTTCTTTTACAACATTCGGAACTCACCTATGACCGTGAAATTTTGATAAAGAAAAGGAATAATCTGGTCTGCCAAACTAGACAAACTAAACATGCCTATTGCACTAGATTTTATATGTTTCTCGGACCGTTTTTGTACAATAAGATAAATAAATCTTGTAATGTATACAGCCTTAGTCATAAGAAATGTTGTAACATGATGACGGAGTACTTGCTTAAATTAAATTATAATGACACAGAAAAACTTTTAGATGTACTGACGTAGTTAATTATTCTTTAAGATCAATTACTGTAAGTAGGTTACATAGTTTAATTTGTTTTATAATTTCTAAATTTTATATAAGTGGTTGATAATACAAACCTATATTAGAAACATGAATATAAATAAAGTGATGACTTGAACACAGGTTTGCATAAACCTAGTTCAAGCAAATCGCGACAAATATTAAAATTAGCCCTATTATTTTTCTGTTCATAGTTTTAAGCAAAATAATGTATTATTATTATCTAGTTAATAGTCTACCATAATTTTACTTTAATATAGTAATTAAAAAAAAAAAACATATTGTAAGTGGAGTACATTGAAATAAATTATTCTATTAAATTATTCTATTATTAGTATTAACCTGTGGTTTGCCTGGATGATGATATAGGCACAATGTAGATGTCTCAAAGTGGTAGGTAGTCGAGATGGTAATAAAAATACCTAGGACCAATATCACAATGTCTGCGCCGCTGTGTACCAGATTCATCTGAATGAAGAACTTAAATTGTCCGAATTATTTGTCACATAAGTTTATGTGACATATAATTCGAATATATTTAATTCGTATACATATATTCGTATATATATATATAACAAATATATGAAAAGTGGGTGTTACATTGTACAGTGGCATAATGTATACCTCTGCCTACCCCTTCGGGGATAAAAGGCGTGATGTTATGTTATATACAAGTTTATCGGGTATTATATAGAGGTGATGAAACTCCTCAAACAGGCGATCAAAATATTTATCAACGAAGCTTGTCATGCATAGCACTACGTAATAAAAACGGGGCATTCCACTTTGCGCACCTAAATGAAGCGCACCCAGACGAAGCGCACCTAAAGTATTCCACTTTGCGCACCTGTAGGTGCGCTTAAAATAATAATTTTAAATAAATAGTTTTTCTATTCCACGAAGCGCACCTACGAATATCACTCGCATAGTGCGGAGAAAATATCGATATAAGAAAATATTTATTATTTAAAAGACTAACTCTATTCTACTATAACTGACAGATGTTAGATATTAATATATACACAATATTTGTCATTTTGATTTTGTTATCTTAGTATTTAAAATCACAGATTGTTTCATAATTACAATAAAAACATGGACAAATATCAATATTGTGTCACATTATTATAATGAAACTGACAGATGTTAGATATTTAAGTTAGTCTTTTAAATAATAAATATGTTCTTATATCGATATTTTTATTTCTTAGTCTCCGCACTATGCGAGTGATATTCGTAGGTGCGCTTCGTGGAATAGAAAAACTATTTATTTAAAATTTTTACTTTAAGCGCACCTACAGGTGCGCAAAGTGGAATACTTTAGGTGCGCTTCGTCTGGGTGCGCTTCATTTAGGTGCGCAAAGTGGAATGCCCCATAAAAACATATACTTACTTGCTATATCCTTTATAAACAGTGGCGTAGGAACCCTCACCAAGTTGCTCGAGTTTTATGTAAGCTTCGGATTTCCCGAATGGAGAGTCACCCTGTAGAAAGACAAAGCGTTCATTAATCAACGCAGGAGCATATCCGACTAATCTGATAATTTACAACACAAATATATGCTGATGTCGGGGATTATGAAATCGTACGACATTATTACGGGAGAATCATGAATGTTTTAATTAGGGATTTATGGTGACGTTTGTTTGTGTTATGTGGTGGATACGTATTTGTTGTTGAAATAGTAATATTTATTTTAAACTAGGACTTTAGAACACACAATTAATTACCATTTATCTGGACTCGGTAACTATGTATTATTGAAGAAATGGATCGGTGTCCATTTATCGACAAAACTACCGGTGCTATGGCTAGCATCAGTAATTTTGTTCATAGCTTCATAGCAGACACGATGCCATTCTATGATTAAGTTCAAATAAAGGTTTCTTTACAACTTATTCCTCAGCCAGTCTGGATTTCTTACCCACGTCTAGCACTTAGCTTCTTTTAGAACATAAATACAAGCCACAAAGTTCAATACCAATAAATAAAAATTAAACATAAAACAGCATTGTAGCTGCGAACTTTGCCTATTTTACGACGCCATAAAAACACAAACAAAAGATATTTATAACTATTAGTTTATATTATGACGTATTGCCACTTAAAATACTTTTGAAGCCATTTTCGTTTCGCTTTCTTCCTTTACATATACCTGTGTAAATATTTGACTTAGTTAATGCATACACGTTGAGCTGCGCACAAGATCATGAGAGTCCACTTCTGAACTATGGACTTATTCTACGACTAGCTACTTCCGCGCGGTTTCACTCGCTCTGCTCGGCGCCTATTAATCGTAGCGTGATATTTTACAGCCTATAGCCTTCCTCGATAAATGGGCTATCCAACACAGAAAGAATTTTTCAAATCGGACCTGTAGTTTCGGCGATTAGCGCGTTCAAACAAACAAACAAAAAAACCAACTCTTCAGCTTTATAATATTAGTAGGTATAGATTCAACAAAAGAGTGTTTGCTTTAATCTCTAGTCTTCGCAATCGGTTTGGAGATCGCAGGTTCAAAGGATATAGAGAGCCCCGCTGCTTAGTTTCTGTACAATTTGTTATCCCTTATGGCCGAAATTCAAATCCTGCGGATTAAGATCGCTTTCTGACAGAAACTACATACAACTAATCAAGTCAATTAGGTTGTACCGCTATGGTGTCCCGGTGAAATATATAGACTTGAAGTCAAAAATGTATGTATGAGTGTGCGAGATTATCTCGCGATTAGCTGAAATAATTTTGATGCGGTTTCCAATCAAAAATCAATCTTAATCCAAAGAATGAGATCGGTTAATAATTTTGGCGATTAGCCGAGAAGAATAGAGAGTAGAGGTGGCAAACGAATAGGGTAGTTTCCTAAATTTTATTTTAATGTCCGTCTGGTACATTAATTTAAAACTTTAGACACGTATTTTTTTTCTTTTCTCACACAAAATTAAATACTTTCGACGATATATTAATTTGAAATATCGTGTGACATCACAGCGTGCCACATTTTGTAGCACGCTATAACGTAACAACCTCCCACTCCTAAACTTAGCGCCCTTTTTTTAAGTATTGCAACTTAATACGAGATAATAAAAAAATACGTGTCTAATATTTTTTCATTATCTAACTGACGGACTAATTAGATTTTGAATTTTGATACTCTGGAAACTACCCATTTCTTTTCAGAGGCCTTAGCAAGAGTTTGTTTTACATTTAAAGTAATCTGCTGTGATTGGCCGGCTCCAGTGGACCAACCAATCAGAGCATCGAACGCGGTCTAGTTTCGATTACTTCTAAAGGACTTATACTGAAACGTTACTCAATTTTAAGTCGTGCTTAAATATCGTGCCATCTCTGTCATTTTACAAAGAATTTGTGGAGACAGAACTTTACTTAAGCGCGACTTAAAATTGAGTAGCGTTTGAGTATCCCGACATTAGCCTTCTGATCTCACAATACACTGAATTGCATGCTTGGAAATAATTCCAGCTATTCGAACAGCATTTACTCGTTATCGGTAACTAAAACACTCGAGTTCATGTTAAGAAACGTTAATTGGGCTATTTTAAGTGATTACTGTTTGATCCGTGAGTCGTAATGGAATCGAAACGATTGTATTTAATGAACTAGCTGTGTGATGTTTTAAGTTATAATGTTGTTGCTATTTATAACTTGGTTATTAGAAATGGTATCAATATTTTGCTAATAGATGCCTTAATTATGATTAAAATTGGTGTTAGGTTATCGTATTTTAACGTCTGAGAATGGCTTGATCGATTTGGTTTCTTTGTTGTTCTTTTGTTGCAATACTCTTGGTAATGTGTGGACGAGTGTGAAACTTATAATTGCATACTATATATCATAAGTACGGTAAAGATTTTAAGCAACCAACAAATCAAACATGTAAAGGAATGGCAAGGAAAAAGGCTTTTTTTCATCACAAAGAGAGTTCAAGGATATCGCAAATGATTGTGGTATCCCAGAATTACTCTCTGCTCTAATCGCACGATCTATCAACGTCGCGGTCGGTCCTGCGAAGCCGATTTGTAAGCTAGCAACACCACGGCCCACCGCCAACGAACATACAGCATTTATCATTATCCCCTTATATTTATGTGCATACGAACGTGCGAAGTGAAAATAAAGGGTTCCAAGATTTATATACACATTTAGAACTATAATAGGAATATAGTTTCACAAAATTGTACTATTTGCTTGTTCAAATACGTAAACACCGTGTTCCTAATTACGTTCGTATTGTTTAGTTGTATAGTAACTTTGTTTGAAAACAAAATGACTGCGATTAAGTTTTAGATGAGCCTGTTGCTTTGTTGCTATTGTATGACTTTAAGAGATTTGTTATTTTCCACCGACATCAACACAAATGGTTCAATAAAAGGTTTGACGTGTTTCAGAATAATTATGATTACTTAGTACATACCCCAAAGGCACTAAACCGCTTGGTACGTCGGTTGGAGTGGTCGTGAGGACCTAAAAAGGCCTCTGACTTGGGCCTAGGAGGCCGTTTCGGCCTCATGACAACCCTCGCCTCCTCCCTCGCACCTTCGTCAAGGAGCTTGGAGTCCGACGACACGGACAGTTGTCTTCTTACACGATATTCGCCATTGCCGCCGCCGCCGCTCCATTCTGTGACCAAAAAAATAACAAATGAAAGATTTGTAATTATCTTAGGACTATTTCTCTCAAGTTTCCAGCCATTCACAGAAAAATGAAACAAACTACAAACGGTTCCAAAATATCGACAAACATTAAGTAAGAAGCGTAGCTATACCCAATCTAAAGCATATATATATAAATATCACATAATGTGTTCAAATTCGAGCGAGATACAGCTGGAAAATCCAATATTTTCAGTTACATACACGAACGTAAATCCCGTTCACGCTCCAAAATTACAGCGGCTGTATTAAAAGTAATCGCTCTTTTGATAAACCCATTACATCACAGTCATTCATGTTCGCGTCCCCAACCGTGAATAAATATGACGTGTACATATTTACCTCCCCCCACATCAATATCAACAATCATCAACAGTACTCCCAAACAAACATTTTCATTGAAAGCTTTGTCAATTGACAGGATGGAAATCCCGCCCGAATATTCCCCACAAGCACTTAGTAAGCAAATTAATTCACAAGGAAATAAAATTGGCGCATTGACGCGACGTTGTTTGAAAAAAGCTATTTTTCTCGCGTCCGTCAATATTCTGTATCAAGAATCGAAATACTCTCGGAGCGCGTCAGCTTCACAAAGACTCGGTATCGCGATGGATGTAAACGCGAATCGAATAAATCATTCGCAGACATGGAATCGTTAGAAGGACAAATCGATTATAAGAACAATCGATCACTAGTATTTAAACTAGAAGGAGATGAACGATTGTGTCAGGATATTTAACATATCGAGTTTTCTGCGACTTTTTTCTTGGACAGGTAAAATAAATTGCTGTATCTCACAGTACCACGCAATATTTTAACCGTGATAAAAAATATATCTCGATATTACTTCATAAATCCTAAATACAATTTAACAGTTTATTACAAGCGTCGAAGTGATGAGTAAGTACATCAATTTTGCGTGCGGTATAACGCGTTCCGGGGCAATGTATAAATGGGTCACGGGGTGGTTCGGGTGCGGTGCTTACTTCCCCCATAAGGGACTCCGGACCGATTCAGGCATACCCACCGATAATTTTATTGGCCAAGTCCCTATTGGCCGCTTCTATTAATTCGATTCAAATATTGAGATCAATTCGATTTGAAGGGTCGAAAAATTACGAAAATAAACAAGGGCTGCCAATTAAAAGTTCTCTTAATAATCCATTTAGACAGGCATTTTTTTTTTAAATACCCGTTTCTCTGATTAATGATTTCACGCTGATGGGGTTGAAGCGCCAAAATTCTTCAATTAGCAAAAATAGAGCAGTAATTCGTTTAGGAGGGTTGAAATGTGATTCTATAAATCATAATTTTGACCCATATTTTAAATAACTTTTTTAGATGTAATTCCAGCCTGGCTAGACCACTTACAGGTTTTCATTTATGAAGAGCCGAACTCCCGAACTCATGTTTCCCGAAAGGAAAACCAGTTCCACGTATATTTTTCCATAAACATTTCAATATTCAAGTCATATACATCCAGGCATAATTTATTACGACAAGAGCAATAGCAGGTATCGTTGTTGCGGTACACAAAACGCCAGTTTATCTGTCCTGGAGTAATTTTCTTCGAAGGTTCCGGGTTATAAAATAGTAATATCACCATTATGCCTCCATTTAAGGGTCATATGTCGTATAATGTTGTTTTACGAGCATACTTTTGATGTCGGTTCAATGCATATTGGGTGTTTTCTTGGTTGTACGTTCGTAGCATGTGTAGCCATATCCACGTTTCATAATTCGGAATAAAAAATGTTTATCGAGCCCTAAATCCTCGTGTCATTCCGGGCACTCCTCGTTTGGTATTTTCGTAATTAAAATGGACAGGGATCTTTTACGGTGCGACACGCGTTATGCACGAAACACTGAAACAATTAGGTTAATTGTGTAAGCCTGTTAGGCTTGGGTGTTTTATTTCGCAATCGTGTAGAAAATGGTGTTATACTAGGATCCCGGATATGTCCATCAGTACGAGTATTATGACAGATTGCGTGACAGGATATAAGGTTTGTGTTATTTTGGTCAAATTACTATTCAGAGGAAAATACTTTGGCCTAAGTAATAGAATAATATTTTATCATACGCAGTCTTTATAATTCCTAGGAAAAATGGGTGAAATGACAAGGGTTTATAACTTGTTAGGTATCTATATTTTCTAATTGAGTCAAAAAGATGCCGATCGTCTTTAAACATAAGGATTTCAATCAAAAACGGAATGATTGTGTCAAATTCCTACATTATTCATCCCTTTTGATCAAGTTACACGTCTCTTTCCGGAGTATACGCATGGAAGAATTTCCTTCTTGTCACTAATTCAATAAATGTTCAACCCGACACCATGTGACCCAATTAGAAAAGTTTTCGAATTACGTGAGCCAACATTCCAACGCGGTTTTACTTGATCCGCATAACACAATATTAATAACAACTTTCCTGGCCTTTAAAACGAACGTTTTTCAAACGTCACTCAACGCGAAGGGACGGTTACTTTGTTAGACCACAGATTAATTAAATTAATAATTAATTAATATAGATGTTTATCAAATTACTTATTATGGAAAGGGTAAGGTTTAGAAAAGCGTAGGTCTTTACAGTTTGTTAAAATACCTATTTACCTACATTTGACGAGGGTATAATGTTGCGTATTATTTCAAGTACCCATGTAGGTACGTATTTTAATCTGTTGTTTAGTTCATGTACCTACCTATGAAAAAAATAAAAAGCCCATTAATCGTTCTTTACAAAACCTCATTTAAACAGAACGATAAAACGATTCAATATAATGAAATATTCCGAGCCACGTTCAGATCATATTAATTCGACGTTAATTATTGAATGCACGTAATTTGATTTATAATGCTAATTAACTGCGGTGTAATATACAACGGTTGCATGTTCTTTCGTGCGAATATTTTGCGCAAACTAATATTATAATTGTATCTGTAGTCTAATTGGAGATCTGTTGGATATAAATTAAAATCATTTGTACTCATCATTACAGCACTTAGTGGCACTGTACAATGTAGCACCCACTTTTCACTGTTTTATGTTATGAGTCCCATGTAATAGGGGGCAAGCCTATTGCCATATACCAGGCTCCAGACTCCGTACTGAGAACAAGAAATCGTTTGTACTTGATATCTCAAATCGTCAACATTTTTTTTTAAATGACTTCTATTGAAATATTATAATGTCAATTTTATGAATTAACATTCATACTTAAATATTTGAGCGTTTACCTCTGACTATTTAAATGAAATAGCTCAATAAAACCCTAGTTACAAAAGTGGGGCATTCGTATACGGATACCCAAACGACATACCTACAAAATGAGGGTTTTTGTATACATTTCCCCTCTCCTTTAGAACGGTAAGTGTTATAAATGTTTAGATTCGTAATGAGTTTCACATTACAGGAAGATTGTTTGTTTTTATTATTGTTTTGTTTCAAATTGTTTGTATACAAATGCGCCGCCATTTTGTTTGTAAACACGAAGCTCGGACTACGATTTGTATTTGATGGTCTGTTAAAGATGTTTCGTTTGGTGTTATTACTAAGAGTTTAATTATAAATTCATAGTGAGTGGTGTTTAAATAAATACAAACGATTTATTTTTAGTTCCGTGTTTAGTATGTTCTCACTTTTCCTTATTTTTTACAATTACATTTACGTTTAGGCAAATATCAGTGACTAACTAACGGACAATTTCGTGTTTAATAATTAAAAGCTTATAAATAACAATTGCTGACTACATTACTCGATAACAGACCGTCTCATTGGCCGAGTAGTCGCAAGTGCGACTGCCGGGGCCGGGCAAGGGGTTTCGAGTTGTAATCCCGGGTCGAGCAAAGTATTACAGGGTTTTTTTAAAAAAAATCTCAGTACTAGCACGAAGTCTGGAAATGTGCCCGGTATATGGCAATAGGTTCACCTTCTATTACATGGCACTCATTACGTAAACAGTGAAAAGTGGATGTTACATTGCACAGTGGCATTAAGTGCTGTAATGTGCACCTCTGCCTACCCCTTCGGGGATAAAAGGCGTGATGTTATGTTATGTTCAAATTACAATTTTGATTTTACTGTAGACTATTTAAGTAATTGATATTATTAACGCGAAAGTTATGTTTTCTTATATTTCTTGGGATTGAGAGCAAAGAAACTAAGCCACGAGCGTTTCTTCTTTTTTATTTGTTGACAAATATTTGCTGATACAAATATTTTATTAATTGGCAACGTACGTCGTATAACAGGCCATTTAATTACATTTAAAGTGAGAGCATTTTGTAGTTAGAAGGAATACTTTTTTTAGAGTTACAGAGGGTTTGATGAAATGCAAAAAAAAAGATAGTGTTTTTGCTCTCAAGTGTATATCGACGTAAAGTATGTTTCACAGTTCCAATATGACACCAAACTCCAGCCGTCACGGAAGACACTCCGGGCGGCCACCGTAAGTACCCACACTTACGGTGGCCGCCCGGACGGTGAGCAAGGGTAGCTCGCCGCCCGACCAGAACCAGACCCGTGCGTACGGCGCGCGCGCCTCAAAGAGCCATCAGACCACCACACATGGGGCCCAGTTGGGCTGATGCCCGATACGGAGTCGCGGAAGACCTAAAGGGTTAACGGAGCTCCGGCTCAAAGAGCAGGAGTAGGAACGGGGTGGTTTTTAATTGGTAAGAGTTTGATGATTTTACCCCAAAAAAAATGAGACCAAAGCATAAATATAAGAAGGTATCGATTGAAAAAATATTGTCACCGACTTCCATAAATCACTTTTCAACTTTCATCGAATAGTTAAGTGCTGAGTAATTAATAAATCTATATATATAAAAATCAATGCCACTTTTCGTTGTAATTCCATAACTCAAGAACGGGCTCACCTATCCAAACCAAATGCTTAGGATTTGGTCGGCATATTTAGTAGATGGTTTATGTGAAGTTTGCACAAAATCGGTCGAGCGGTTC